GTGGCTTAAACGCAGGGCGCGTTACGGGCGCCGTCACCTGAAATGAACGGGAATAGTAGTCCCTGATAGTCCCTATGGTCCTCATTTAAATACACGATAATATACCACCAGCCCATTCGAATTATAGTGGTTACTGTTCTGGTCAAGATCCACTGAGAAGGGCGTGGGGTTTAGGGTGTACATAAGCTTTAATTAGGATTGGAGTTCATTGAGGTGATGATGGGGGCAAGTTAGGAGATAAGGCTTGTAAAATGGGAGATCATCACCATATATTGATGCCACGACGGCATGAGGACTAGAAGACAGCTGCAATGACAGGGTCCAGGGAACGATGCGGGATTTGGGGCCTAGGTTTGGGATGGCAGGTCGTGGGATTTGTTGAATTCCGAGTTTGAGATTTGGGCCTCGATGGCTTCGAGCCAGGGGTGTCGCGTGTAATTACGGGTTTAGTGAGCAAGCGATCTCTGGCAAACTTGATCCAAACTGTAAGCCTTCAGGACTTCAGGCCAGCACCCCGGGCCCTACCCTCAAGCCAGTTATTTCTGTGCGCAGATCGTAGGTTCCTGGCTTCGGACCCTGCCTCAGCCAAGGTTCCGATCGCTCGAAGACCCGCAGAGGCACCTGGAGTCTTGAAACGCCCACTCTAAAACGAGAGAAAGCTCAACCTCGAACCTTGAACCCAGGTGTCGTTGGACATATGGCAGCAAGCACAAGGATTCAGGGCATCTCTTGAATCACCGCGTCGCAGTCCTTTAAATGCAAGTCAGCTCTAATGGGAGCCGTAGGGACAACTACAAGTAGTAGGCAAATTGGGATCTGTGGAATACCCACACCCGACTCCGATCCCAAGAACTCACCCTCTTCAACTTTCTAACCATGGCGGAGATGCCCTCGATTTTCGGGTGATAGCTAGCTAGCAGATCTGGCTGCAGCCTTTGCAATCGAAGCCCATAAGCCCTTCTGACTCCTGAGTTCGGACCCAAGCTTCTAGACTCAAGCTCAGAACACTGAGCCCTTAAGCTCCCGCAAGCCAACTTGACACTTTGAAGTGTTGGCCCTAAGACAGCAAACGGCAAATGCTTAACCGTTGATCGAGGTACATTATGGCACGCAAAGCCACGATTTCGGTCAACGGCTTGTCAAGGTCGCGAAGCAGCCGACCCTTGCCCAAGGTTGGGTTCGTGGGACATGAATATTCGGCTTTCAGACTCCATTTCTTGAGTTGGGGGTCTTTGCTATCTGAAAGGGCCATATGGATCATAAACGAGAGCTTGGTCTTGAACAGCGCCCATGCGTGACGCCATACATGGGCTTGTCTTAGCAAGATGTTTCGAGCAATCCCAGCCACTGATCGAGAGTTGCCTTCCTTCTGGTGTTTGCCTAACGAGTACAGCGCAGAGATCAGAATCCGAATAAGCCTGCGCACACTACAGTCTGACAGTGTATCTCGTTGGGGCGGCCCACCCTCTTGAGCACTAGCGACGTCGTGAAATGTCATCGCTCTGCTAATCGCCCTACACCCCAGGTTCAAGCGAGCCATACAAGCCCTTTGTCTCTCTCAGCCCTGCATAACAAATCGCAACTCTCACCCCAACCCCTAAGCCGCAGCCAAATCCCCAAAAAGCCGCAGTTGTGGTTTCATTTGGGCGACCTCGTCGAAGCGAATCGACCTGCGCCCTCGGTTGCTATGTCCGGCATCAGCGAGCTTGAAGAGTGCTGAATGCCACTGCCAAAAGTATCGCGTCTCAGATCAACCTAGTGTTCGTTCTGGGAGGCCGGGATCGAGATTTGGCTCTTGAGAATCATGCTGTTCGCAATACCAACCAGCAATTCCACATCATTCTTCTTTGGCATGCAGCTGAGGTGAGTTCGTTACTGAGTCGCGGCGTGGCTATTCGACATCCAATACCCTGGCCTTCGAGTTCGGCAAATCTCGATTCGGCATTGAAGCTCAGCATTTTCCCAGATCTGCTGATCAGGTTTGAGGGCTGCACGCCAGACGTGCTGCTTCTATACTATGTCATATTATATACTATGTCATCTGATAGCATTTTATCTCATATCTTCTATTGTATTACAGTATAGTACAGTAGAATATACCAAAAGTCTATAGTACAGTGTAGTACGGTCTGATAAAGTATAGTAGCATATAGTACAGGTAGTGAAATGTAGTGTAGTACAGAATAGTGCGGTAAAGTGAAGCATGGTATGTTATGTTATGTTATGCTTACGTTATGCTATGTTATGCTGTATGTTGATATAGTGTTACATAATTATGGTATACTGCTGTATGGTAAACTAAAGTATAGGTTGGTATGGCACACTATTTTACATAGCACGGTCTCAACCTCAGTCATGTGATTCCGTGTCATGTTGAATTGCATTACAAGCTACAGTACATCCAATAAATGTATTTTAACATATGCTAATATAGTGTCGAAAAGCATGGTCTCAGACCTTATCTTATGCAGTATATTCTGTACAATATATTAAAATTACGTAGCATATTACATATGATATATTGTCTCACATGCACGATTTCACATCCCGGCCTCCAGTGTTTCAAACGGTCGTGGTTCAGAACATTTCTTCGGCGATCGCCCCAGAAAAGGCGTTTCAGGTTTCAGAGATCAGCATCCCAACCTATAGGGACCTTCATGATTAGTGAGAAGGCTCATTCTTCAGACTTCTGCATCCAAACCCGAGCCTCCCAGTTCTCGGAACCGACCACGGCCTCGAACCGAGAGCAAATTAAACCCCGACGATCCTGATCCAGCCTAGTGGTTTCTTAACCTGACGGGTTCACCTGCATGTGACTCTTACGCCAGGCTCTATTGCAATCAAGGCCGCATAATCATCGTAGGAGCATGTGCGAAGTCAAGCGAAGGAGATTGAAATGCTTTGGAGACCAACCCGAAGCCCGAAACACGAAAGACGGGCATTCAACCTTGGCGCAGATAGTGACCAGAGGATTGGTTCCCAGAGCCTCGAGCCCCGGGCCCAAAACGGTTTCAGGGTCAAATCTAAGGGGCTTCATTCTTCAATCAGGGCTTTTGGGGTCGAGGGTTTGGGCTGGAGGGGCTTTTGGGTACATTCTCTAAGTCTAGTATTGTTATAACGATGAAGTAGTCATGAAGGCCGGGATTTGGAAGAGCTGGGGCCAGCTCAAGGCTTCGGGACCTGAAAGATCTCAACTCTAGTGCGGCCTTATTGTCCTTAGTCACAGTGTGTTTCAGTACTCCTATATAGCTCCTGTAGAGTTATGGTTCAAGCAGATACAGGTGGTTAGGATCATAGGGTCAATTCCTACCTTCGGCCTCCCAACCAGATGAAGTAAGCACTCCGATGTCGTGTCCCCTTCGTGGGTTTAGGCTTTAGGCCTAAAGTTTCCTCTCAAAACAGTCGCGTTGGTGGTTCGAGTTGATTTGAATCTTGATCTCGTTGTTGAAGCTCTGTTTTTGCCAGCTGTGTTAGACAGGGGCTCTTGTACATGTGAGCCCTAAGCCAGAACCTCCGGTGTCGGACTTAGGGACCTTTGCCCGGAGCGAAAGCCTCAGTGCTTCAAGTTTATTGTAAGGCTCCACCCTGACAGGATTTACATCGAAGGACTTCGTTGCGCTGAAGGTACATACGGATGGCCGTGAGTTGGGCATCCTTAAAGGAGATGCAGACTCGTGCTTCAGGGTCTCAGGGCGGTTGAAGTGGTCTTGCAGTTTCGAGGATACAACCGTCATAACTATGAGCAGCCCCGGCAGCAGAACAGCGAAGGATCATCCTCTTGAGGTTGCCATGTGTGTTCGGCGATAAGTCCTCCTGCTCTCAGGAATACAAGTCCTTTTTCCCTGAACCCCAGACCCCAAAAAGCCTAGAACCCAAACGCCCTGAACCCCAAAAGCCCTACACAAAAGTTGACTCGTGCATTCACGTGCAGGAACTTAGTTTCAGTTGCCGCGAACTTCCGCCGCAACTCCAACGAACTTTCTCATCCCCAACCCAGGTCGGATTCAAAGGATGAAGCCCCTTAAGCCCTAAACCCCAAACCCCCCTATACCCCATTCAGTCCCGAAAGCCCTAGCAGCCTTCTGATGGAGGAGCTGCACAGCTTCTCCGCGCCGGCCACGTGCACTTTGCGATCCTCCGCACCGAGGAGAAGGTGGGGCTCAGTTTCCACAGAGTTGACAGGTTCAAGATTGTGGGGCTGGGAGTTTTGGAGGTTTTGGGTTTCGGGCTTAGGGTTGACGGCGGTTTAAGGTTCCAGAAGCAGAGGTACAGGACCCCATGACGAAGGTTGTATGAGGTTTTTTGTAGAGTTCTATCAGGGCCATACAAGAGGTTATAGGGTTCTGCGAAGTAGAGGTCTGAGTGAAAAGAAATAGTGTCCCCTGATGGTCCTGAAGATGGTGGTAAGAGAATATATATATATATATATAAGAATATATATATATATATAAGAAACTACCTCGAAAAGGCTCTTACCTTGTTGAAGTACTGTAGGGACCCGAGAATAGCCACGTCGTCAGCATGAGTATAGCGTCGCTGAAGCCTGCGCACCTTCGTCGGCTTTTTTGCCTGGATCAGGCCGCAGGCTGCACAGCGTCTGAAAAAGATGTGCCTTTGGGGATTGTTCTTCAAGGAAGAAAGCTGCATCACCTTCCGTACCGTCACCTGTGGTGCACGGCAGCCTTCAAAACATCTCAGCACACTCGCAGGCTTTACAACCCGAGTTGTGCAGCCCGAAGCCCGTCTTTTAGACCTTACTGTCTCCGAACCCGAATCACCTAAACCCTAAACTTAGGCCCTAAACCGTAGACTTCGGCCAAGTCCATGGCCATAACGACCTCTAACATCGAACCTTTGGAAGTCAGGTTCCAGTAGAGGAGGTACAGAGCCAACAGTTAGAGACTTCGAAATATGTGCGTGGCCTCATCATCTTCGTGTGCCCGTTCAACATGTAGTAGTGATCGGACGCACTGGTCTAACTGACCCTTTAAAGCAACCCTCACATGCAGGAATCAAGGCCCCTGTATCACTCAGCTTGACCTCTCCGCGATATGCCAGCTTGCGCTGGACTCGGGGGACTACCGGCCCCCTCTGGATGTGCTCCACCAGTGGCTACGGCTCTCCGGCTGTGGAATCTAGGGCTTGGGCAAAGTAGTGCAGGGCATGTCGTCGGAATCCCACTACGACTGTCTTATAATGCTTTAGGGCCGTGGTTCGCTAGGCTTGCTAGAAGCTGTGTGTGATCTTGTGGAAATATTGGACCTCATCGCACGACTTGCAACTAACTATACCACGTTCGCAAAAAGCCCGGCCATTGGCCCTTGCCGACCCGTAGCCATACACCACAAAATCCAAAGTCCTAAACACTAGTTCTGAAAAGTCCCTGAACAAAAGCCTCGGGATCACTTACACGCTAAACGCCAGATCCTTTGATTTGACGAATGGAGAAGCGGAAAGACGATCGGAGACACCACAACCCTCTCTGCAGGCCTCTGAACTCTCAAGCCAGGATGTGTGATTACAGTAGAGTTTAATCTGACCACTGACCATGATAACATAGTAGCAACAGCGGCAGCAAGACTGGTCTCGCTATTTCGTAGACGATCATGCCAAAAACCGAAGGGGGCCTAACGTATTGACATCCTGAGCTCTTCGTAGTAGCTGTTGTGCATAGGGGCAGTTGCTGATAGTGGCAAGCAACACTCTCGCTCCTTCAACCCCCCACCATAACCCCAAAGTTTCTAAACCCTGAACGCAAACACTAAAGTGAACCCTCAGCCCTCAACTCAAAATGACCAAAGCCTTTGCAAGACCCAGGACGTCGGGACTCAGCAAGTTGTACACGGCACGCGCTGTCCTGCACGAGGACTCGCAGCCTACTTCTAATCCATCTCTTACCCTCACCCATTTACGAATTCATGCGTGCGTGCCTGCTTTAGTACGTGCATACAGACATACGGACACACGTATACTTGCATACACCCACTGACATTGTTACACATACTTATATACACACATACACATACGATCCGCGGGTTTTGAGATTTCTGGAGCATGTAATCGTTTTGATGAGGTAAGGTTTGGGATTTGGCGGGTTTCTCCAGAGTCTCTTCTACAGCTGTTGAAGGTGGAGGGTCTCTAGCAATAATACCAATAAGAACTGAACCATCGTTCTGATACGAATATTAAAAATAATAGTAAGAAGAAGAAGATCAGGAAGCAACAGCAGTCTGCCGTCAATGCGGTTTGCGCGAATCAAGATGCGAATCCCTAGCGTCACAGTCTTGAAGTGCACAGAGTCGTCACACAACGAAGGACAACAGCAATGTCGTGAGTAAGAACAACAATAAGTCTAAGGTCATCGAATGGAAATGTTGTAAGAAGAATAAGTATGGTGGCACGGATGATAATGTAGTCCCTGACAACCTGCCCCCTTCTAGGAATCAAGGTTCTAAATTAACAAGGATCCAAATACTATCACTCTGGAGGAAGGATGCCCAAGTCAATGCTATTGTCGCAGACGATAACATACTTATGCTCATCATGATACTAGTAACGACCACCAACCCTGCCATGCTGGCCCGAACATCCTAAGGTCCTCAGAGTAAGGTCATCTAAAGCCAACTTAAAGCACTAACAGCTTAAATTCCCAATCTAAACCAACCCTAAAACCGAAACCCTGAACCCTGCCGCAGACGATTCTGGTGGCGTCGCCGAGGGCATCGTCGCCGGGTCCAATGAACTTGGTTGCTCGGGCGCTGCACCTTGCCCATATTGGGGTTTAGCGTCTATGGGGTTCAGGATGTAAGGTTCACGGTGCGGCGTTTGGAGGTTCAGGTTTGCAAGGTTTCACAGGATTGCAGGGTTGTTTTTCGGGCTTAGGGTTACGGGTCTTGTGGGTGGGACCTACAAAACGAAATCGGCGTTCTCCATCCTGCCGGTCTTGGGCGGCGGGTTGACAGGTCGCGCTGATTCGCAGTGTCGAAACACGGCTCTTGGGTATACAGAGGCACAAGTGAGATCTTTTGCACACTGAATTGCGGAGCCTGAGCCTACTATGCCGGGCAGGGCGATTGGGAAACAAGCGTATTCCAAAGCACCGTCTTCGAAACTAATTAGACCCACCCCCCCCCCCCCCCGCCCCCCCGAATCTAGAACAAGCTAATCACCCGACCGAGATGCTTATGGACGCGAGTCGACTGCCCAGGCTGCGAAGAAACCTGAACTACACGATCTGATCTGGCGCTGGGATCGGTTAATAAAAAGGTGTGCTGCCTTCGGCAATAGCAGGGCCAAGTATAGTACGAACCGTGCTGGTACTGACAATTATCATCCTGCAGCCATCCTAGTGGTACTGACAAAGCCACACAAGTGACAACGATACTGACACAGCTTCGTTCAAGGCTGTAGGCAGCTGTAGGCCTTAAAACGCTGAACTCTAAACCTTCAACATGTAAGTCAAACTGCAGGGTAGGGCTGATTCTTCAGAGGCCAGTACTGGAACCAACATTCCGAGCCCGCTAAGGTTTCGAGTTTGGTGCTTCGAAATTATAAAGCTTGGGGGTTTTGCAATTAAGGAGTAGGGCATGGGGTTCTTGCCGATGCTGGCAGAGTACTCAAGGACGGAGCGCACTAATGCAACTCAAGAGGCGCTTGTCAAGCTGTCCTACTACAAACCGATTTCCCAAACATAGAGCCAGCAAGGACGGTCGCGAGAGCACGATTTGGGTCCCAAAGTCCGTCATATTGCGGTGCCGTGGCTGGATGGTAGCCGTTCCTTTCTCCGGCGTTCGGCCCGAGATTAAATGCCTTGAACTTGATGTTATCATGTCAGCAGAGCAGCGCTCTCAACCGCAAGCCCTTCTCTTCATTAGTGGATCCTCAGCACGAGGACCTCTGACAGGGCAGGGCCCCTACAGTGAGAAACCCCCAAAAGCTACACCCACCAAGCAAGACACCATAAAGCGGCATGAAGCAGCGCTGTGTTTAAAGCAACATTCACACTGTCAGACCAAACACCTAGAATCCCTAAACCCTTAGCCCCGAAACCGCACTACCGCAACCTCAAACTCGGGCACCCGACGGCTCCTTTCGCGATGCTGCGCTGCACGCGTTGCTCCGGCCGCCTGCTAGGGACATACCAGCGGATCGCATGGCGAAGCACGCCTCAGGTCACGACCGCATGGTCATATGGTGTTATGGGAGTCGTCTGGCCGGTGATTACAGAGGGCGAAGCAGGCTTTACGTCTTCGGGGTTGAGGAGTTTGGAGTGGGGGGAGAGCCAGCCGTTGCCAGGCTTTCACAAACACAGCCGAAGTCTTGCGGACGCTTGTGAAAAATCTAGGCTTGCCCAGAGTACCGACGGTGGTGGTCTGCAGTTTCGGGTCTTCTTGGCCAGTGGCATTGGGGATGTGTTCCGGTTGGCTAAGCGCCGGTGCTCCACCTCATCTGTTGCCGAACGGCGCACAAGCCAAACAGCAGTGAGATGGCTTTAGGGTCCAAGGCTTCGGCGGTTCATCCCTAAACCCCAAATCAGCTTCCTTTCCCGAGCGAGGAGGTTTCGGCCGTTTGCGATTCGTTTGAGCTTCTTGAGCTGAGGGTTCGCGGCATATAATTGCAGAAGGCTTTATGCTTTTCGTCTGGATCTAGATACAACTTAAACACAGTGGCAGCAGTTTCAAGCCTATTGTAAGCCCTGCAAGGACCATTGTAAGCGCCACAAAGAGCATCGCAGACTGCAGCGTATACGCTACAAAGCCCAACACAACGGCAATGCTAACCCTCCACAACCCTGTATACATTCCTTCTCATAAAGGCAGTCTTCTTGTAGCATCGAGTCTTGCTGGGCTTCTCGGTCTGTCCAAGCTCGCAGGGGTGTCGGCTCTGGGCGAGAGAACTGCAGCCCGCTGTCAGGGGACTGGCAGCTCAGGCGGGAGGAGTTTCAACGGAACCCGAAGAGTCAACGACATTATATCTTAGGGTTGTTAGTTGTTTCAGTACATCCAGAAATTATAGATCCTCGAAGCCGCTGGTCTTTGTTTCTTGGACGTCTACATCATGTGCCACCTGCACAGGTACGATGTGTAATTCGCCAAGTGAGTGGACACACAGAAACCTGAGAAGTCACGAGGTAAAGATTGTTCCCCAAGCTTGAATCTGGCATTACGTTAACTTTGCTTTGTCAGACACTTGAACATGACGCATATCAATAAGCGTTGTTTGCATCTTACGGTTTCGTAGATGTAGCAGTCTCGGGCCGTCCTTTGTGGTCATGTCCGCTCGAAATACTTCGTAAGACTATCCCCTCATAGCCCCCCACTGGACCCCATATATTTAAACTCAATATAAATGTACCCCAAGATCCTATTCGCTCAGTCCCCTGTACTATGCGACGAAGCTGCCTCAAGCCCTTGAGCCACCGAACGAGAGCGTGGTGAGGACACGAAGCGCACTGTATCCCCGACGGCTCAACCTTGTTTGAGTTTGATGTCTTCGGGTGCATTTCGGGGGAGGGCTGGAGTGATGGCTCGAAGGTTCAGGGTTTAGGGATTCCAAGTTGAAGGTCCGGGGTGAAACCTAAATCTCACCAGTAGCCTTTAGTCTCAAAACCTAAGCCAGATATCATGTACTCCTTTTATAACTTGAACCCTTAAACCGTCCACCCGTAAACCTGGAAATCTGCGTCGTGTACGACCCTCTTAAATTAAGATACACCTGAAGCCACATTGAAAATCAAGATAGGCCTCTTCGTAGCTCGAACCCTAAGAATCAAAACCAAGCGCCTCAAAAACGAAGACAAACGCCCTGTTGGAGCTCGAATACGCTGCAAAGTCTACGTCCTGAAACTATCTCGGTATTGTGGGCCCTCTGCAGCCGGAATGAGCATTAAACCTTACAAAACTTATTGCCCTAGATCCTAACACTGTATACTAAGGCCTCGATACAAAGCCCTAGAAAACTTAAGCGTAAAAGCCTATTCCGTTTGTTAAGGCCCTCTTTGCCTTGGCTCAGGGTGATCCCACGAGTGCCCCGGAAGAATCAAACGAAGCGTCTCCGACGCTGAGTACCGAGGAGACGCTTCCCATAAGGAGTGCTTAATAAGGGTTCCCAGATTGTTAATCGATCGTATCCCCTTAATATTAAACGGGGGCGGGGGGGGGGGGGGGGGTTCCCCCCCAAAAGACAATCGGAACTTTGTTTACTAGGGGGTATGTTTATCTCTTTTGTCTGATTTGGGTACAATACCGATGAATAAGACTAGTAATTAGCACAAAGA